CATAAGCAAGCTAAGGCGAACGGTCTTCCCGCCCCCCCCCCCTTGGCGGATGCAGCGCATGCAGGTGTATGTACAGTGCAGCTTCTGTATGAAGAATACAGCATTAAGAAGAGAGAAAAGTGAGAAGGCTGGAGACAGGCAATGCGACGTCCATGAGTCTCCTTGACCTTCGTCTATCTCTCGTGCTGACTGCATGCAGCATCTGCCGGTCTCCTTGAGTGGCCCCCTACCCCTTCTTCTGTTTTAGTTGGATGTATAACGGAGACAGACACAGAGAAGGAGACACAGGTAGCGAAGAAGACAAACACAGAGAGGCAGACGAGGCAGAGCAGACGGAGAGAGAGACTGTTGTAGCGACAAAGACAAAGACAGATACATAGGAGACAGAGGTGTTGTAGCATGAGTTAGCGCAGAAGCCTTCCCCTGGCTTTGGCACGTTGCGTGTAAGCGGTTGCAAACGTTCTACACGCACGTTCAGAGGTAAAGCGTGCAGCAAAGGCAAGCTTCGCTGAAGCTTCCTTATGTGCACGCGTGGGGATGGCTTGCAGTACCAGCCACAGCGGGGTGCGCTGCAACCCCACTGGGGAAGGCGATCAGCTGCTTTTGGAAAACACTTCCTTTAAGTCTTCGCCTACACTGCGGCTCGCCTCTGGCCATATTAATGGCAGAGAACAAGCAGTACACTTGGTAGCACCGCATGGTTCATCGGGGCAGGGTGCGAGCCCGGGCCCGATCCCCACGCGGATGACATCAGGCATCGCTGAAAAAACACACACGATTGCAAAAATAAATAAAATTCATTTTGTCCGTTCAGTTATATCGAAATAAAACCCATTTCTTTCGTAGAGAAAATCTCTTCCAATTTCAGCGTTCTCTTCACCAAAATGGAGGTTGACTATGAGCCACTCAGAGGGGCGGTCGACGCACGGTCTGGAACCCCAGCAAGCGGACGCCAGCTCCATTTCGGCATCTAATCCCGGAGAAAATGCATTCCCGCCAAAAACGATTCAAGAGGAATGCCTCCGGTTGTGCCGTCCTACGGCATATGATGGGCGGCGGGATGCAGAGGCTGTAGAGGATTTCCTCAATTCCCTAGACCTATACCTCCGCTTACAAAATGCCCCAGAAGAATTCCAACTACTCCTGGCGTCTTCCTTCTTAGAAGGGGACGCACGGCGATTCTGCCTACGCTTAAGCAACGGCTCCAAGTTCCCTGAGCACCTCAGGTCCATGCAAGCATTCCGGGACGCGCTACGTTGCAGGTTTATTCGGAGATCTGCAAGGGAGCAGGCTATGGCGGAACTGAGAAAGCTTAAACAG